TAGGCCAAGGTTCATAGGAAGAGGAAGGGCATACAAATTCAAGTACACAAAATATTAATTTTTGAGTAAAATCAAAGACTAATTTGAATATATACATATCCATTTGAACTCTTATGTAACATTATGAAAACAAATTTGTTTTAATCTAAAAATGCAGAATAGTAGTATTAAGTGAACTATTAAAGTTAATTGAGTCCACTTTAATTATGTATTTTGTAAAAGTTGGGCAATTTCAAGTTAAAAACTATACTGAATATGAGATATTTGATGCTTCTACAAACCTAAAGTTATAATAAACTAATTAAGATGAAAATTATTTATTGTATATGATAGAAGTTATTAGGAATTCTTGCAAATTATGCAGGCAAAATAAATACTTAGGCAATTCACTAAATTGGCAGTCAGATAACAAACCTGTAAGATTATATCTAAAGTCACTTAAAATTAATTTTGAGACAAAATTCAGATGCCATAAAATTCATTATTTTAAAAAGAATGACTTAGTAGCAATTGTTACATGTACAATAATGTATAGCTTCCCCCTCTGTCTAGTTCTATGAATCAAAGCAGAAATCGAAATAGAAGGATTCAGTTTCTTCATGATGTATTTCAAAATGCTTAGTTATTTAGTGGCTGTAGGTTTTCTTGTGACCCTCTCCATCTTCACTTCCATCACTTTTGATTTCTATCATCTGGATTCTGGAAATTTCTTATAAAGATTTCATAGTAATGATGGAATTTCTTTCCTGGATACTTTGAATTATTGTAATGCTTTCCGTACCCTCACTTATTTTATCATGTAATGGGGCTCCATTTAATTTTTGTTTATATTTTTATTTCATTATGCATAGCATCAAATCTCCAAATGTGCAATAGAATACTGTTAACTGTAGGTGCAATGTCTTGCACCAGAACATTGGCATTTCTTCATTTTGTATAATGAGGTCTTCATTTATTAACAAATTCTCAGTGGTCCCAAAATCCTCCTTTTGCAATCACCACTCCAGTATCTGTTTGAGTATTTTATGTACCTCATGGAAGTGATATCATGCAATATTTGTCCTTTTGTGACTGCTTGTTCAATTTAGCCTCAAGTTCTTCAGGTTCATCCATGTTTTTGCATATTGTTAAATATAATTTTTAAGCCTAAATAATATCTCTTTGTTTGTATTTACCACATTTTATTTATTCATTTATCCATGAATGACTATCTAAATTGTTTTCATATTTTGGCTATTTAGAATTCTGCTGTAGTGAACATGAGAAAACTACAATCTCTTTGAGATACTAATTCCAGTATACTAAAATAAAACCCACAAGCAGTTTGCTAGATTCTACAATAAGTAAATTAATTTATAGTTAAATACAAATTCTCCCTGAGAATTAGTGCACAACCTCCAGGCATTTCATTAAGTCTTCCAGTGCCGTTGGGTAAATCAACAGATTGCATGGCAACTGTTCAGGGAGAGAGCTCCAACATTAAGGAAATCATAAATCGTCCTCAAATGCACAATATTCAGAAACACATGGGAGAATCGAGAAGGAGGCTTCATCACAGGTAACAAAGAAGAGGTTTCATGTGGTACCCTATGTTACCAACTGTCTACAGAAACGGTCAAGAGGTTAAAAGCTTATAAAAAACTGCAAAACACTACATTGTGTTTGTGCTTGGAAAATATTGAATTTTTGTACCTATTATTTTATACCTAATATATACAAACATGTATATTATGTTTGTATAATAAAGCATAAATGAAAGGACATGAATTTTTTTAGAAGCAAAAATTAAAACGGAAGGAATTTGCCCTCTCATTTCCCATTTGTTTATTTATTGTCTGTTCATTATTTATTTATTTATTATTGTAATGGAGTTGGGAGTTGAAGTTAGGGCTTCACACTTTCAAAGTAGTCACTCTACCATTTGAGACATAACACTCTCCTATCTCCATCCTTCCAAATACTTACATAGTTAGAGGATGTGAAAAATTTTTGTGACTCCGTCATTCATTGTAGAATAAAGGTATGAGTGAGATTCATTCCTGAACTCCTGGTAAGGATGAGGGTATTTCTACTCCATACTGAGCATCTAAAAACTTTTTTTGAGTGTCAGAAGACTTTTTATTTCCCGGTTTTACTGCAATGGAACAATGCTCTTCAATTTTTCTAGTGAATAGATTTTAAAAATAAAAGATATTTATCTACTTTCATAGCCTGACATACTTTGCTATATTTAATACAAGAACAAGGCTTGAATGTGGCAGGGCATCTGGCAACAACAACCACAAAAACTGTAATTTAAGTGAGTTAGCTATAATTCACATGTATTCACATTATCAGCTCCATAGATAATATTGAAAAATTGTGTGCTTCCACTTAGTTACTTTTAGCTCAGGAGCAGACACCTGTCACTAGAGTTTTCACTATAAACTTTTGCAGTTTTGATGTTTTTTAATTTAGGAAAATTAGTGTTTAATATTTTTCACTTCAATAATAATAATCTTGCATTAAGAGTTCATTCACCTGCTACTATGTTATATTTATGATCTCTGGACTATTAGAAACATTGGTATATGTTTCATGTTGTACAATTGTTTTCTTGCCTAAATATGCTAAATCATATTTGGAAAAAGTTTTTGTGACATTGCACAGATTCCAAAATATGAGTAAGTGTTCATGCATATCTCAAATTTATTGTATTTTGTTTATTTCTGTGCTGTTGTATACTATAGTAAAAGACTTCAACAATATATAATTTTATAAAGTGCATTCTAAACATTAAACATTTTTTCTTTAAAATGTACTATCAGAGTAGGCATGGGGCCACACACTGGTAATCTCACCTACTCAGGAGGCACAGTTCCAGAGGATCTTGGATTGAGAACAGCCAGGGCAAAAAGTTAGTGAGACTCTTTCTCAAAAAACATAAACTGGGTGTGGTGGCACACATCTGTAATCCCAGTTATTTGGGAAGAGTATGATCCTGGTCCAAGACCAGCCCCAGGCAAAAATACAAGATCTGAGCCAAGAAGTAACTACAACAAAAATGTCTGCAGGCATGGTTCAAGTGGAAGAGTGCTTGCATTGCAAACATAAGGCCTGGGTTCAAGTCCCACAACCACCAAAACTGAAATTAAGTGAGATAGAATATCTCTTTAGACAAACGAAAATTTATAAGTCTTCTCATAAAACCAATGTCACCATCTCTCTTTCTCCTAACTTCCTGATTTCCTCATAGTTCCAGTTTCTTCAGTAACAATAAAGTGAAAGGTTGTGTAACATACAGATAAGTATATTTCGGTTATAATGAAAAAGCCCATAGGGCAAGAATCTGATTTTCCAATAATTAACATAAAAGTTACTTACTTAAAAATAGAATTAATGTTATAGATAATAAAAAATAAGTAATGCCACACAAAAGGTCCTTGATTACATAATTTTAGTTGGTATATAATAGGTTCTGAATGAGGGAGAGATTGGGAGAATTTGCTTGTATTACATTCTTATCAATCTGTTCATCTATTCATCATTTTAGCCCAGAAAAGGAAGTTAAACTCCTGGGCAGAAAAGTGACATAGATATGAAAAAAAACTCTCCCAGGTAGGTTATTGTTATGGTTTAAAACGTAAAGACATCAGCACTGATGGGCAAAGATAAGAGGATCTTCAATGTCAGACCAGCCTGGACTTCACAGAAAGTTCAGGACAGCCTGTTCCTTAGGGCTAGTCCTGTCTAAAACAGCCAGGGCTGGAATGTAACTAAGCAGAGGAGTGATTGCACAGCATACATAAGACTATTGATTCCAACAGAAGTGCAGCCAAAATAATCATCTATTTACCAATTTGTATGGACATGATCTTTGAGAAGGCTTTCCATAGACCATACAAACATTGAAACATTTAATCATGCTTCATCTTTCAAAACAACTAGAAAGGACATGTTTGTTTTATATAGACAGAAGGAGTTTCAGACAAATTCTTTGTCCAAATATCCTTTGCATACAGTAGACAAAATATACCATGCACTATAATGCGTACATATATCTCCTGGTTTGTTTCTTCATATGAAGAAAGTTTCCTGTACAGTGTGTCATATCTTATTTTTAATTATACATCTGTCCAATATTTAACAAGTGTGTGAACACTTTCGACTGTGCAACCTGTGATCATAAGGATTGTATAAAACTTGGGTGCATTTTTTGAATTGTCATTACAAAATTTTAATATGCATTATTGGCATATATATTATTTAATCATTTTAAATGTAATGATTAAATGTCACTATTGGATTTGACTATTTAAAAAACTAATATAAAATGTAAAGAATACTACAATAATTACCATTTATCTAACACCCAAACTTTAAGTAATTTTTAAACATTTTTCCTGTTTTCTTGTATCTTTATCGATGTATCTGCATCTGTCTATCATTTATTATCTACCTATGTAACTATTATCTATCATCTATATCTATCTGTCATCTATCTATCTATCATCTAATCTATCGTCTGTCTATATCCATCTATCGTCTATCTATTCTCACAACCTCTCTATCTATCTACAAGATAGATAAATCTATCTATTCATGCATCCATCTATCTAAAAGATTGCTTAAGTTTCAGACAAGTTTATTGATATGGCTATTGTTTGGGGTTGGATATTTTAAGCAGTAAGATGTTGATCAAGTTTAACTGGCCTCAAATTGCTATATACCGTCAGGAGTTCACCTTCAAGTCAGGAAAACCAGAATATCTCTAGATATTGAATAACATTCTTTTGTGGGTAATATCACTTTAGGTAAGGACCACAGATCTAATTATGTCAATATTTTTATGTTTATTCATGTATGTAAATATGTCTTTTTTCTTAGATAGTACATTGGGAAGTTTAGAAATATTTTGTTTATGTTAGCGTTGCATAATAAATGTTCCCCTGGTGATAATATTTGAAGGTTATTGACTCTACCATTGTCCTTGTCTAGAATAGGTTTTCAGATAAACCAGGATGGAGAAGAACAATCTCACAGTGGTGAGTGAATTCATTCTGATGGGCATCACAGATCGCCCTGAGCTGCAGACTACACTATTTGGGCTGTTCTTCATCATCTATGTAAGCACAGTGGTGGGTAACTTGGGGATGATCATCCTTACCATGGTGGATTCTAGGTTAAAGACTCCGATGTACTTTTTTCTCAGACACCTGGCTTTTACTGATCTTGGTTATTCTACAGCTATAGAACCCAAAATGTTAGTAAATTTTATTGTTGATCAAAATACAATCTCCTATGCATTTTGTGCCGCACAACTAGCTTTCTTTTTTCTGTTCATTGGTAGTGAACTTTTTATTCTGTCTGCAATGTCCTATGACCGCTATGTGGCTATCTGTAAACCATTACTCTATACAGTTATCATGTCACAAAGAGTATGTTGGGTACTGGTGACAGTCCCCTATCTCTACTGTGCATTTGTGTCTCTCTTAGTCACTATTAAGATTTTCACTTTATCCTTCTGTGGCTACAATGTCATCAATCATTTCTACTGTGATAGCATGCCTTTATTATCTTTGATCTGCTCAGAAGCACATGACATTGAATTACTCATTATGATCTTTGCAGCTTTTAATTTGATTTCCTCTCTTCTGTTGGTCCTTGTGTCCTACCTGCTCATCCTTATAGCTGTTCTCAAGATGAGCTCTGCAAAGGGGAGGTGCAAGGCTTTCTCCACCTGTGGGTCCCACCTGACAGTGGTCATAGTCTTCTATGCAACGTTGATATCTATATACGTGCAACCCAAGTCCAGTCATTCCCTTGATACTGATAAAGTGTCTTCTATATTTTATACACTCATTATTCCAATGTTGAATCCTTTGATCTATAGCTTGAGGAATAAAGATGTAAAATGTGCCATAAAAAGAACAGGGAAACATATGCAATTCCTTCTATTAAATATCACTTACAATATTTGTCCTTCATATCAGTTTTGAATGTGAATAAATAGGGTTTCCCTCTACAAAGTGTCATAGCACAAATGGGTACAACATATATTTACTTCCTGGCCTTTTTTGTAATAATCAAACAACCAAATGCTATAAAAACATTCTATGAAACACAAAATTTTTGTCTTTGCTTTCCTTGGGTTTGAGAGATGAAATATAACTATAATAATTGAGTAAATTATATTGTATTTTAGAATAAATTTATTATCTGTAGACAACAAAAGCATATGGCAGAGATAAATGCTGTAGGTGAGTGACAAATTATAGTGTGTATGAAGGAGGGCTTAAAATGTTCTCTGTCATTCTCCACTTTTATAAAAAAATTACTGTATACAGGTGTTTTTTTATTCATGGGCATAATTTTTATTGTAAATAAAATCTTTATGCTTAAGGCTTCATTCATATACTTCTATGGCTCATGTTAAAATCAACTTTGACTGGGGCCTCCTTAAAAGGAAGGTCACTGCAAAGTGATGATTTGAAGGAATCTGTCATGTGAATGTGCTCCAAGACTCTTATTCTCTTCAAGATTTCAGGTTTCTTTGATCTCATCAGTGTTCTTTTTCTTTCTTTTTTTATTCATTTATTGACATGTGCATACATTGTTTGGGCCATTTCTCCCCCCTGCCTCCCGATCCCTCCCTCTATACCCCAAATCCCCTCACTTCCAGGAAGAACCTGTTCTTCCCTTTTCTCCAATTGTGTTGAAGAGAAGACATAAGCAGTAATAAGAAAGACATAGTGTTTTTGCTAGTTGAGATAAAGATAGCTATACAGAGAGATTCCTAGCATTGATTCCATGCACAAGTGTATTACAACCCAAATTGATTCATCTTTACCTAACCTCTTCACTACTTCCCGGTCACTTTCCCATGTTGACCTCTGTCATTTTAAGGTTACTGCATTAGCTCCTCTGCAGTGGGGACATCACACACTTTCAAGTTTTGGGTTTCCTACCTTTCCCCATTCCTCTTGCATGTACCCCTTAGCGTGTGAACAAAGTCCAACAACATTGCTGCATTTGCCCTAGATCTAAAGTCCACATATGAGGGAGAACATATGATTTTTGGTCTTCTGAGCCTGGCTAAACAAGCTTAGGATGATGTCCTCCAGTTCCATCCATTTACTTGCAAATGGTAAGATTTCATTCTTCTTCATGGTTGAGTAAAATTCCATTGTGTATAAATACCATATTTTTAAAATCTATTCATCAGTAGTGGAGCATCTTGGCTGTTTCCATAAATTGGCTGTTGTGAATAGCACTGCAGTAAACATGGGTAACCTGAGTTGCATTCTTTTGGGTACATCCCTAGGTGTGGGATTGCTGGATCATATGGCAGATTTATGTTTCGTTTTTTTAAGAAGACTCCATATTGTTTTTCAGAGTGTCTGCACTAGCTTGCATTCCCACCAGCAGAGTATGAAGGTTCCTTTCCCCACACCCTCGCCAACAACTGTTGTTGTTGGTGTTTTTTGATGATGGCTATTCTAACAGAGGTGTGGTGGAATCTTAGTGTGGTTTTGATTTGCATTTGCTTTATAGCCAGAGATGGTAAGTATTTTTCATGTGTTTTGGCCATTTGAATTTTTTCTTTTGAGAAAGTTCTGTTTAGTTCACTTGCCCATTTCATTATTGGTTCATTGATTTGGGGAGAGTTTGGTTTTCTGAGTTCCCCACATATTCTGGTTATCATTCCTTTGTGTGATATATAGCTGACAAATATTTTCTCCTACTCTGTGGGTGGTCTCTTCAGTTTAGAGACCATTTCTTTTGTTGTGTAGAAGTTTATTTTAATTTTATGTAGTCCAATTATTGCATCCTTTCTCTTAATGCTGAGATGCTAGGGTTCTAATTGAGGAAGTCTTTGCATATACCTATTGCTTCCAGAGTATTCCCTGGTATTTCCTGTACTAACTTCAGAGTTTTGGGTCTGATAGTAAGGTACTTGATCCATTTTGAGTTGATACTAGTAAAGGGTGATAAACATGGATCTAGTTTCAGTTTTTTGCAGGCAGATTACCACTGTCCCTGCTACATTTGTTGAAGAGGCTGTCTTTTCTCCATTGTTTGTTTTTGGTTCCTTTGTCAAAAATAAGGTGGGCATAACTGTGTGGATTCATATCCGGGTCCTCTATTCTGTTCCACTGGTCTTCATGTCTGTTTTTGTGTCAGTACTATGCTGTTTTTATTGTTATTGCTTTGTAATATAGTATGAAGTCAGGTACTGTGATTCCTTTAGCATTGCTCTTTTTGCTGAGTATTGGCTATTCACAATCTCTTGTGTTTCCAACTGAACTTTAGGATAGATTTTTCAATCTGTGATGAATGTCATTGGGATTTTGATGGGAATTGCATTAAACATGTAGATTGCTTTTGGTAGGATAGCCATTTTTACTATGTTGATTCTACCA